TATTAATTAAATTATTATCAAAACTATACACATATATAGATAATAGATTCATAAATATTTTTTTATTTACGGTAAAAGTTGGAGACAATCTCGAACTAGGAAATTTATAATATAATGTAATGTAATGTAATCAATTCTCCTCTATTATGCGAGTGGCTGAGACCGTGAAGTGCACAGGTGACAATTAGATGTTGGTATTCTAGAAAAGCATCGGAAATTCGATGTAAAAGTATGAAATTGGAATAAAAGGCGACCAAATGCGTAGCATCCCGCTATATATTATATAAAATGTGTACCTAAGATCATAAAGAAATATATAAAATAAATCTTTGGGTCCACATAATATATACAATATTGTTCTGCTTCTCTCATGGATCCATCGACTCCACAGTTAACGCCAAGCCCAGCTATAGTTAAAATATGGTTCCAAAATCCAGGACTACATAGGTTTTTCTGCATTTTATTCGTGTTCTTTTAAACTGATTTACTAAATTAGATTTCGTTTTTGTTTTTACATTCACTTTATGCTTAGTTTTGCTATATATCTATGTATGTAAGGCTACCTTCAATTGTATTGAAGCCTTCAATGAAGGCAATTTTTTAAAAAGCTATTTTCGTGTGACATCACTGTGCTTATCTACTAAACTTAATGTCTAAATTTGAATTCAATTAAAATCAATTGGCCCACAATTGTATTTTGCTTTTGCCGTTTCCTTTTTTTTTATGTTTTTGCTTTATAGCCATTATCTATGTAGTTTATCAAAAAATGGTCAGCTAAGTGACGCAATGCTATAAAATTTATAATCAAATTACCAACAAAACAACTTTAACAACTATTTAGACGCTTAGAGGCTATACGAGAATTTCGTTTATAAAAACTAGAAAACTTTGTCATCGATCGATATGTGTTTATGTTATAGTCTCTACATGTACGAGTCGACCGGATAGCGTTCGGCCTCCTCGAGCATATGCCGAAAATCGACGGGCTGGGCGAGCGGAGCGACAGGTCCAGTGCCAGGTCGTCCGGCCACATGGCCGTTCATCATTTGATTGGGCCGTTTAGCATTCAGCTGGGCGCTGCCGCGACTCTTGATATGGCCATTCATCATGCTCACATGATGGCTGATCGTGGGCACAGCGCCGGGCACATTCGTCTCCAGGTCGTGCAGTATGGCATCCGTTTGCTCGTTTCGCATCACATGATTGCCCAACGATTCGCTGGCATCTGCGCCCTCCAGCTTGTTGGTCAACTGCTGTATGTGATTGCGTATGAGCCGCTCGAATTCCCGCTGCACCGACGGACTGTCCGTGTCGCCATCGACCTGTAAATATGTAAATGTTTAGGCCAACTATTTATAAGCCCAAGAGAGTCTACTCACTATCTGCAGCCGATTGCTGCTGTCCATGGTCTTCAGCATAGGCAGCGTCTGCTCACGGAATATCTCCAGACGACGTCGAAACGAAGAGACTGTATCATCTATGCGTCCGCGACCTAGCTGCAATTTCGAGCAGTCCAACAGTATGGTGGGTGGACGTTGTTTGTACTGAAACGTAAAGGAGATATATATTACAATCAAATTGTAGTAATCGGTGGAATAGATAGTATAAATTATAAAATAATTACATTAGTTCAATATAATTAATAAGTATGCAACATGTTAAGTCTAAGATGATTTTCTTAATGTATTACTTATATATTATTATTAAAATTGCGTTCATTTTAAATGATTTTCAAAACATTTACAATATATTTATAGTATTTAAAAATTTTAGAATAGATTAATACTAGACTTAGAAATTACATATATTTAAAA